ACATAAAGATGGTTAATCTTCATGAAAATGGAAGTCAACAACAAAATGAAGCCTACAGTTTCCATAACTGTACTATGGCCAGATAAAATTATGCTCTTGTTGTCTATTTCTTCACCAATGAAATATGTTGTTGATCACTTTTCAAGTCAGGGGTGGCCTCCATCACATGCCATTAGTTTATTGGCATATATCTCCAAGGTGGCCATACTCTGTAAGGTGATCAATGAGGAATCTACCTGTTGTTGTTAAGAATGCAGACCAAATGGACCCGTGCAACATTTTTCTCCAATTTTGCTGACATTGTGATGTGAAACAATTTCTTATGGTGAAAAGGGGCAGATTGGTAATAAACTGGAGAGCTTTTTTTTAACATGGACTCATTATACCATTCAGACTGTGCATGGGTGGAGTCAAACATGGTAAAACCCATCATGCTTTAATAAATGTCTTTGCACATAGGTTTGCTGAAGAAGACAATTCCCAGACATTTCATTAGGATTGGAGTGGAGCATGATGGTGCACGTCCATAAAAGAGCTATGATGATGTGCAAACTAACTAGGCTAATTACACTTAAAGTGTAAACCCAAGAACAAAAATGTAATAAATTGCAGTTTTTTCAGTTTTTTTTTTCCTTGATGTTCACCTGGTGATTCTGAGAGTACCAAACTTCATGTCCTAGGGAACACTCATATACTGTACTGTACATATGGAGGAGCAGTAATATATATAAATATGTGTGTGTGTATATATACTCTCTCTTTCTCTCTCAACAATGTTATGTATTTTTCACATATACACATGCTCGTATCATTCTACAAGGGCTAACACTTTTACTAAATGACTACCCACACACATTCACCCCTCTATGTACATTATGCATTTTTCACATTCGTGATTGATATATACACACACACATATTTATATATATACACACACACTCATATATATTTATACACACACACACATGTTGTTGTAATTTTACAAAGGGCTAACACTTTAACTAATTGACTATCCTTTGTTACCGCCCCATACACATTCACCCCTCTTATGTATGTACATTTCCCAGGACGATACATGAAGAAGATTCTATTGCAGCGGTTCTTTTTTGGGTCATTTTGGTGCTGATTAGGCTGATAAACTCTGTAAACCGGAGTGAAGAACCCGGGTAACCAGAATTCTTTTTATCACACATCTTTGGTCCAGCCCAACCACCCCACGGTGCATTCACATGGGGGGATCGAATCCCTATTCATTTTAATGACCTTGTCAATTCTGTCTAATCCAGGATAAAACGAGGTACAAGTGACCTTATGACAAAATTAGCGCCTGCAGTTAAATTGGTCAATTAGGAGTCTAGAGTTGGATTAAAATTGACATGATTACAGCGAACACATCATATTCTAAAAATAAGGAGGATGACAGAGCTGAGAACACACAGACGTCAGATATCGCCTGATAATTAGAGAGCTGGAACTAAACAGAGCAGGTACACCCCGACATACAGCTGTTCAGGAGGAGAGCACTCCTATTTTATTTTAACTTTCACCCCCCCC